GAAAGTGATTGCCTTGTTCTGTATGGTTCAAGAAGATGTCGCATTGACCACCCACAAAAACTTTCTTTTGGAGCATTCAACCTGGCTGTTTCACCACTGCACCAACCACAAGTTCCTGATTGACTATTGGGATGTTCATGTTTCTCTCTTCTTCTCTTTCTCACCCTGCCTTGTTGACCTTCTAGATCTAGTTTCTGCGACGTTGGTGACTTAAGGGTTGTTGTTGAAGGGTGCGTTGTGGAAATCGGTAAAAAAAGGGCGCAAAAATTGTTCCTTTTTGTTGAATTGTGATGGTTATTAAGATATTTGTTTGATGTTTCTATTGCTGGATCTGTATTTTGTTTGTTTTTTTTTGCGGTGGTGATAATGTGCGGCGAAAGATATGGACAGAGGTCATGGTGCGTGGCGGAGAAGGAAAAAAGTCGGTGTGTGGAGCGGAGGAAAAGGGTAGAGGAAATAAATTTGACTTGTTTTAAAATGAGAGGGTCAACAACTATTTATAAAACAATTTTATTTCAGATTTTAATTGATTACGTGAAGTTTTTTTTTTTTTTTTTTTTTTTAAGATAAGGGGATAAAACCCTCACAAAGATCAATTAAAAACCACGATGATACACAATTTCAGCAACGTCAGCTCTAATAATAAAAGCAAAAAAAATTTAACAACATCAAAAACATAGAGATTATCCTCAGAATAATCTAATAATAAAAGCAAAAAAAATTTAACAACATCAAAAACATAGAGATTATCCTCAGAATAATCCAAAGCTAATTTATCTGCTACTTGATTACGTGAAGCTTGTAATCCATTAATTCGAGTTTTTAAAACTTCCAAACATGCATTTTTAACTCTTTTAATCCATTAAAATAGGAAGAATTGTTTTTCGAAAATACTGCATAATATTACGCAATTAAAACAGACAAACCATTTTTATAAAAATAAAAATAAAAATCGAGAAAGTGAAGTGTATCAACTTCTTATAATTGATTTAAACACCTTATTTTTAACAGAAAAAGTTTTTTTTTATGATAAGAAAAAGTTTTTTTTTATGATAAGAAAAAGTTTTTTTTAATTGATTATAAATCACTCCTAATCGATTAAAACATGGTGTTTGTATTTTTTTTTTAAAACAAAATTTTTGTGATCGATTACAAACTTTATGTAATCAATTAAAATAGGAATCATCATGTTCTCTAGAAAATCAATTTTAATGTTGTAATTGATTACAACTATCTTTTAATCGATCATTCTATTTGAAAAACTGTACTTTTGTTATATATATATATATCTTGATTTTCACATATATGTTATGATCTCTTCTACTTATTAGTGATTCATTTTCGTTCTTAATGCCTTTACGTTTTGATCACTCGTATTTGGAGCTTTGATTTAGAACTCGATTGGAAAATGTTTTCTAGATCATGATTTAAAATGAATCACCTAATGGTTTAAGTTGCTAGGAATAGAGCTAAAATCATTAGTCTTTAAAGGATTTTCTTAATGCAGGTTGTCCCTTATTTAAATATGCAAGGAATTGATATTTAAAGGGGAAAACTTAGAATCTCTTTACTAAGGAATTAGTATTGAGTGATTGTAATCCTAGATAATATTGTAGGAGAGGGATTAACATATGGATGCTTATTAAGATTACAAAGAGGTGTAGTAGGTGAAATCCAGTCCCAAGCATCTCATATCTGAATTTCTCTAATACTTATTTGAATTTGCATATTT